GGGGGGGGCTGGAGGGAAGGCGCCAGGCCCATGCGTGCACGCACTCACGGACGGGCTTCCTCCTCTGCTCTGTTTCCCCGTCCCCCCCTCTCTCACAAACAAACACAACACAAAAGCACACACCGTTTCCTTTCTTTCCCCTCCCTTTCACACACACCTTTTCCCCTTTCACACACACCCTCTCCTTTTTTCTGTCACCCATCTTCTCTCTCTGCAGTGCTCACCTGCACCTCCTTCATACGCATTTCCTTCTCTCTCGTCCTCCCTCTTTCTCCTTTCCTCCCTCCCTCCCTCCCCCCCCTTCTCTCTTGTCTTCCAGTCTGCCCGTTTGGAGCTGAGCTCTCCTAATCATAGCCTTCCCACTAATTGGCCCGTCGTTCTTTTCTCCGTCTCTCGCCGTGCCTGTTTGCTCCCCTGCCCCTGTCATTCTTTTTTCCATTCATCTTCAAATCCTGCCTTCGTTGGTGACGCGGCCCCTTTTTCCGGTCCCTTTCTCTGCCTTCCTTGCGGACCCGGACTCCAGAGAAGGTGGGCGGGCTCATGAGCAGAATTCTGCAGAAACATCCCTTGGTGTGGAGTGTAGGGAGGACTCAGGGTTTGAACCCTTGCTTTGCGGTTCAGCTTTCTCGGCTTGCAGTACCTGCGCGTCACTACTGATCAGATAACAGACGTTCGGATGGCAGGGTGGTATGAAGGTCTCTCCCAACAGGAGACTCTTGAGCACAACACGAGGGGGGTTTTCAGAGTATTGTCCCAGAGAGAATTACTCACCATTAAAGTCCCATTGAGTTTGGTAGAACTGGGTAAATTTGTTCCAGGAGTGCATCCTTCCAAGGCTACACATGTTTACGTAATCCTGTTGAGAAAACTTGGAGCAGAAGGGGGAATTGCAAAGACCGTTTCCCTCGCCCTCCTCTGATGCTCCGTCCTTTCGCATGACCAGTTGCATACTGGTGCCACAGTTGGGCACGCCCAGGACCTCTCACTGGATGGATGATGGGGAAGCCATCCTCAGAAGTCTCCCAGTCCCTCTAGCTTTTCTCAGCAGGATTAGAGCCTTCGCGCTCTGCAGGGCTCAGGGTCAGAAAAATATCTGTCCGGCTGTGGATTTGCACAGCAATCCTGAATATGTCTGCTGAGCAAAAAAAGAGTCCATATTCATTTCCATTCTGCTCCCTCTTAGGTAGGTGTGTCTGAAAGGGTGGGTTTAGCCTCTGGATTCAGATCTTCCCTCAGTCCATCTTTGATCTGCTTTCGAATGCTACTGCTAGGCTTCTCAACTGATTTTTTTTAAAAATCAAGAGTTCATTTACAATTAACCAAGAAGACAGAATAGTTTAAAAACACACACACACAAAGTCGTGGTCGGACAAACTAACTGCATGTGCATATATGTGATATGCACAAAGCCATCCATATGTATATGTGTATATGTGCGTAAACAGATGAGAACATATTTATTTTGCTTAAATACTTCTGTTTGTTATAATCTGACCAGTGTATATATGTATACCCATGTGTGTATATGTACAATTCTGCACACCTTATAATGAATAATCAGTCAAATGATCTGAAATCCACAGCGTTAAACTGAGGTTTGTTAGCAATTCTGGTTTAATTTTGCCTGTTGCTTTTAAAACGTTTCTGGATTACCGGCTAGCTGTTGTATGAAATGTTTCATTGGTCTTAAAAAGGTGGAAATGGATACACTAGTATAAGCTGCTCTAGACTGAAACCTCAGGGTCGCTCCCTGGTGTAGCCACACTGTATACTTCTCCTTATATCCATATTTGCAGACTGTATTTTGACCAAACCCTCTTAAGCCAGGATTGCTAAGAAACCTCAGTTTGAGCTGATTTGGGGTTGGATGTCCGTTCTCATACCACTGAGTTTGTGAAGCTTCCAAAAAAGTAAAGAAAAGAAAGAAAACACAACACAAGTAGATTTCCGTTTTCACACTAAAAAGCAATAATTGAAATCCTGCAAACTTCCAAGAGGCACAGTTGATTTATAATTCCCATTTCATGTGCCCTTGCAAACTTTTCTCAATCAATTTTTTTTCTTTTTTAATTTGGTGGTTCCCCTTTAGGTTTCATCAGGGCTCCCGACAGCCGGGCCCAGGGGATGGATGGAGGTGTGTATACACCCTCTGATCTGTCCACCCTCTGAAATAGCTCATCCTTGCTTCATGTTGAGTCAAGGGTTTTGATTTATGTTGTGTACTGCTTTGAGAATCAGTTGACTGGTGTGGAAATACCTTAATCAGGTGGTGGGTAGGTGAATAAACATCCGCCCAACTCAGGCGGGGTGATTGGTCCTTGGTTTGCACCTTATGGTCTAAAAATTGTCCCTTGTAATTTCCTGTCTGGTTGCGTTCGCCTTTTCTGCTTGAATGTTCGGCCCCATTGAAATTGAGCTTGCATTGATCTTGAAAAAGGAGAAGGGTTTGAGGTCGGTTTTCTCTTGGCCACCAAATGTGGAAGTGCCAAACGCCCAGAATTATTCAGTAGGTTGATTCTGAAATTGTGGGAAATAGCTGGAATGGCTATTTCTGACTGCCCTGGAGAACGGAAGAAATTTTGGCAAGAGGTGAATGCAAAGTTCTTCTTACTGCACCCCCCCCTACATGTTTGATCAATTAAGTCAGAAATCCAGCTTGACTTGCTCTGTCTTTTAGATGGGGTGGTTTCTAGGTTTTGCTGTCGTTACATCCTTTATTTGAGAGGTATTCACGGGCGTTTAATTCCTAGTGCTTGTGTTTAATTTTTATATGTATAAAAGGTTGTGCTTGTTTTTTTTAAATGAGCAGTTCACTGTGCAGCTATCAGGGAAGGGCCCTCGTGGTTCAAAAACTGGGTGGCAGATATTTTAAATGAACTGCTATGCAGCTGGGTGCCAGACGTTCTTATTTATTTATTTATTTTGGTACACTGAGCCATCAAACAGAAGAGCAGATGTTGGAGAAAAGTCGCAACATGCCTAATAAGAGAGGTCTTGCCAAGCTTGCTTCGCTTAACGAGCCCCCCCTCGTTCTCCTTCTCTTGGCAGCAGCATCTCTGAGTCGTCTGGGGTCATTTGGCTGACCTCTGTGTTTTTTATGCCCAGCCTTCGATTGCAGGGGTGGGGTGGGGGGCAGTGCTGGTGGGAGATGATGGGAGGGAGGAGTTCTCTTCCAGCCGCCGTGGCGCTCCGTCCCTGGCCCAGGGGTATGGAATCCCACGGCGATTTGTAGAGCGGCTGTGTTTGGCCGCACGGGAGGCGCCCCCCCTCCCGGCCCCGGTGGCGTCCAAAGAGACGTGGCAGGCAGGAGGGGTTGCCCCATGTCCTGACGCAGAGGTGGCGGCTTGATCTTGCAGAGCTCCGAATCCAGCCTCAAGAAGAAGATCCTGAAACGGAAAGGGAAAGCGGAGAGCCCGTGGCTGAAGCCCACCCGGAAGAGGAGGCGGAGGAGTAAAAAGAAACCCGCCGGCGCCCTCGGTAACGTGGCCTTCCGCGTTGTCTCCCACCCACCCCCTCCTCGCTTTGTAGGGGTTGAGTAGAAACCGCCAGGCGGAGGTGGGTAACCCTGGCACCGCCTCCCAGGTATTTTGGGGCTCCACGTTCCATCAGCCTTAGCCAGCCCTGCCAGTGGGCAGGGATGATGGGTTTTGGAGTACCCCGGAGAGCAGAAATTGAATGTACCCCTGTCCTGCAGTCCTTTTTCCTGATTTCCTAAGGGGTTGCGGGGGGGGAGAAGTCAGTATTTGACAAATGGACGTGGGCCCTGAGGCAGAGAAACCAGCGAACAAGCCCCACCCTCTCAAGGGAACCGGCCGGGCCCCTTTGCTCGCTCTAAGCCAAGAGGCCAGGGGTCCTGTGCCTGGGGAGGGTGCAGTGGGCCCAGCTGAGAGGAGGAGCAGGGGGGGCGCTCCCAGGTTCTTCCTTTTGAGGAGGGTTGGGCCCCTGGTTTCCCCTCTGGATCCTGTTGGGCTTTGGCTTTCATCAACCCTGGCATTTCTGGATGTCCAAGAGACCAGCAAGATCTGGAAGCCTGCCTGTTGTGGAGGGCTGCACGGGGCAGGGAGGAGAAAGAGGCCACCTTTTCTGTTGGCTGGACAGCTACCCTCGTGCAAGGTTCAGGGTCTCACAAGTCACTCGCCCCTGTGACTGTACTCAACCCAAATGCCCTCCCCCAGAAGCCCCCTTCCTTGACGGAGCTCCATCCTGACGCCTCCCCATCCCAAGCAGGAGCCCTTGAGATGCCGGCCATGGAGTCGGCCCCCGGCAGCCGCTCCGAGTCTTCTTTCCACGGCAGCTGTGCAGGGCAGGGATTTATGACCCAGATGCTCTCTGCTTCTCCCCATCTGGCCAGCATCCCCTGGGTCGGATGAGCTGGGCAGGGGCGAGAAGGAACGTGGAGTTGGGGGTTGAAGAGCGGTTGGGTGGTGTCTCTACGTGGCTCTGGTAGAGGGCGCACAGAGAGACCAGTCCCGGTTAGAGGTCCACACATTCATTTCTGTTTGCAGACAACACCCTGCTTTGTGTGAGGCAGTAGTTAGAGAACATCCCCCTCCTTTTGGTTCTGAGTGGTCACCTTCTATCTTATTGGTGGCATTAGTACTGCTGGAATGTCTGTGATCCGGTCTTTTGCATCAGGGAGTCAAGGAAAGCCAGGTGGCTTTCTCTCTCGCCCCTTCCTTCCTTCCTAAACACCTTCCTTCCTTCCTTCCTTCCTTCCTTCCTTCCTTCCTTCCATCCTTCCT